AATGTCTCCAATTATATAACAATGTAAAAACATCCTATCTTGATTATAATAATAAAATAATTCCATGTAATAAATACTTAAGGAATGACAGAAAATTGCCATTTTTCAATGCAAAAAGATATAATAGCTCTAGAAATAATTGTGAATGGATGCTAAAAGATATAAACAGAATATTAATAGGAAACTTTATTTTGGCAAGAATCAGTTTATTATTACATGAACTCACAGATATATTTCAGAAATCCTGTGAGATAAACAGATATATTATGTTCCTTATTAATTGCTGTGAAATACTCTTGGCTTAAAAACAAGTAACAATAACAAAAAAATCTGTTTGGAGCTAATCTAGCTTAAGACCTCATTGCAAGTTAAAATAAAACATGAAAATAGAGAAATAAAATGAAAACGATGAAAAATATCAAGTCTAGAATACTGTTACGTTCTAAAGGACCTGTAAATCCATGGCATGAAATAAAAAGGTTTGTTTTAGAATAAAAGAAATTTAAGAAATGTTAAACTGAATGGAGTATGAACCTTGATTCAAAATCTATTGTAAATAGTTATTTTGGAAACAATTAAGGACATTTTTATACTAACTTGTATTAGATGATATTAAGATATTGTATTTAATTTGATTAGCAAAACTAATGGCTTCCTGGTAATACACATCAAACAAACAAGCAAACAAAAAGCAACTTTCTTCTCAGCTAAAAGAGCATATTGATTTATTTACAGGTAAAATGCCACCATGTCTAGAATTAAAAATACTTCATGTTATAAAAAATGGAGGAAATTCATATAAGGGTGGCAAACTTTTATGACTGTTTATATAGGTGATGCTATATAGAAGGTCATTGTATTATTCTATTTTGTGTAATTCAAAAGATTAGCAATAAAAGTGAAAGCAGTTAAAAATGAGAGAGGAGAATAGATGAGGATCAGTGATGATTGTAAGTAAAGGAGCAGAGATGGTTAATAGGGAAAATATACGATGAAGTAGGAGAGAGTGCTAATCCACCAAAATACCACTGGGGTTCAAAACAACAGGGAGAGAACTTTAGGGACTGCCCAAACTCAGAACAGTGAGAGACAGGGTAAAAAAGGAAAAATTGGAGAAGGGAGCTGAAGCACTCAAATAAGATGCATGGAAGAACAGTCCCTGCATGGATCACAAATGTTCGGCACTAGCATCACCAATAGTTTATTTCTCATTAGTCTACCAACTCTCTCACACTGGTGTTTCAAGTAAACCATTCTAGTAGAGGCTAAGACATGATCTCCTCAAGGTCTTTCTATCAAGCATTACATCCAGCAATGTTTGTTCATAAAACCTCATCTGAAAAAGAAACTAATTTCTGCAATTTGAGACTTAAATACTTTTAACCTCATTTTATAAATATGAAAAAAAGTAAAATTAAAAAAAAAAAACTCTGAATTTTGTGGTACCCTGGGACATACAGAGAAGGCAATCCAATGAAGACCTGCCTAGTCACATTCAATAGAGCAACTGCAGAAGCAATTTGTTACTAGCAGATGGATAGTTGAGCACTAAAAGGGATGATAAACTAGAAAGAAATTAGATATTGAAATCAATTTCTTTTAGGCTTATCTTGAACCTTCAGTTTCACACAAACAATTGTATTTGAAGAAGTCAGAAAAAAATGCCATACTAAGAGGGGTGCCCGTGAAAACAGAACTTTACACATGCTATAGCCTTTATAGTCACCATTTACTTGATTGGTCCAAATATTTATAGTTCATTGTTATGACTGCCAAAACTGGCAACCACAAGGATTGTTGTCTCAATTAGGACAGTAAACAGATTGTCTCTTTTTTTAATGAAAAAATCTAAAATGTAATACTTCACAGTTTAACATGTTTATTCATCTAAACGAGCTAAAAAATAATGGTGCGACATCTGTTCGAGAAGCATTGGTACCTCAAATTTTGGCTGCCTCCCTACCAATTTGGTTGTTGTTTTAAAAAATGAAGAATAGGAGGGGGTACTGTCATCAAAAAAAATCTTCTGGCATGTAAAGTATCTTATTTTTCTTGAAATAAGGATCTCATATCTGTTGCTAAGGATAAAAAAATGTATAACAAGGAGACACTATGCTGAATACGGCTGCAGTTCAATTGTTTTAAATGAATTACTGATCTTCTATGGATATTTCCATACTACTATAATTTTTTTACATGACTCTCCAAGTTCCCTCTATACCTACCTTTATAGTCAAAACCTCAAAAATATGATAAGAATGTTCCTGTGGGTTCTGAATTCATCTGCTACATTTAAAAATTTTTTTTTAATTGTTGGTTGTACTGATTCTAGATATGGTGTCAGAGGAACAAAATCTAGCAAACACATTCTATCCAGACTGCATTGGAGTAATTCTAATAAAAGAAGGCAGTGCTGCTAAGGGAGAAGGGGTAGGAATCTTCTCAGAGAAGCCTCAGGTAAGTGTAAAGAAGTCTAACTGTTGTTAAGGAGAGAATATAAAATTATCTTAGGTAGTTTCTAGTTCAAGAACCTTATGTTATGATGAAATACATTAAAATTGAATAAGTTTTAATTTCAAAAAGTTGATTTCTGAAACTCAGTCAAAGCAGTAGTCACTCTATTGAATTATCATTGATTATATACTTTTAGAACCTGCAAATGCTTTAATATTCATATAAACATTATAATAAAATTTTAGATTTATTTTCATTTGGAGAGAAGACGCATGCTAAGTTGAATTCAAACATTGAGCATGTTTTTAAATAAATATGCATACTTGATTTACTAGACAAAACAATGTTTCTATTTTGTAGTAACCTTAAGGCTAGTTATCTTAATTTTCAAGAGAATCAGAATGAAAACAAGACCTATATTTGTAGATATAAAAATATGTATCGCAATACAACCAAAGTTCATAAATGCTAAATGCTGTTGATCAATATTATGATGTTTAAATTTTATTTATTAAATTAAAAAATTTCGGATCATCTGTACATCAAGAAATCTAGACTCAGAACTAAAATACATTAGCTTAAATTTTAACATGCATTTATTAAATTTATGTGCAGATTATTATGCTATTGGACAGAAATGAGTAAGAAGATATTTTAGATCTTACAATCATCAGTTGGGATGAGAACATTTCTTCTGTCTTTATGAAAAACCGGTAAGAGATACTCTTTATATATTTTGCTCCCTTAAAATAACCATCAATCCTACATTTTTGTTGAAATAGTTTTAAAAGAAATACTAGATGAGGTTAGATTTTTACAATATTTCCCCTCAGATAATTTATACATTATTTACCCTTGTCTAAACTTACATGAAAAATAAGAACCAGCAACTCTTCATACTTCATTCACAGTATTTCATAGGCTATATTTCCAGCATTGGTTGGAAATCTATTCTGCAGAGTATGTTAATAAATAGATTTGAACATTCTGAAAAGTCATTATAATTTTTTTCTGTTTTTGTCTTCTGAATTATTCCAAGCAGTAAATTATTGGAGGGAAAATAACCTGTCTAAAATATGTTTGATGCCAGTCTCAGATTTCTGCCAAATACCACTCACTTTTCAAAAGTGCAATCTCCTGAAACAGCAAAAGATATCACCTTTCTGTCTTCAAAGATTCAAACCAGACTTTCAATCTGGGATTTCTCTTTACAGTATTGGCTGCTTCCCAGGTAATGTGAGTTCACAAAATTTGTATTTCACAAAAACTGTTGTGTAAACATATATCATCTCATGTTACCTGCTATTTTCTAAAATCAAAGCTTTAAACCTTTTGGATGTATGGTTTTCTGAGGTCATCATAAATCAATCAGTCATACAAATGTACTAGCTATTGACTTAGGTATCAATAACACTGGGCAATAAAATTTGCCTATATTTACAGTATATTTAGGCTAACATGTATTACTATCATTTCCCCCCAAAAGAACACCTCATGAATAGAACAGAATGGTAGTTTTTCTCAATATGATAAATTTTCAAACATTTCCAAAAACATAATTATCTATTTTAAATACTGTAAACCCTGTTAATATCTCACTTGTATGGGTAGCTAATAAGTAATTATTACATATCTTCTCATTTAAATTAAAACTGAAAACCAGGAATAATCTTTATTTAATATGACTGTTTTTAACACCATATGGGAGGGAAATAACTAAATGAAAATTGTTCACGTAAATGTGATGGGAGTAGAGGAAAGCAGTATTTCTTGACATGTGGCATGTCAGTCAGGAAAGTAAAAGGCCCATCATATCCAAAATGCCAGCTTGGATATTCCCTTGCCTCCCACTTTGCGAACAGACATACCACATGGCATAAAATGCTGCAACCTTTCCTAAAAATGCCACTTGGATTGGTCCACTGTGGTGAGGATATAAGAACTCTTGGTCTGTCTCTTGAGTTTGTGAGTTCAAGAGAAGAATCCAGTAAATAACACTGGCTAAATTTTGTCCTCAGATGTTTGGCATAAATGATCTGTGAGGATATTGGAACCTTTGGCTGTTTTCACACTGATGAAATAAATTATGCTACTTTAAAAAACTCTACAGAGCATAATGTTACACTGTCACATTCAACTTTTTGCAAAAGTACCAAAGATATGTTCTTTAAGAAATTCTTATAAAGCCATAATATTCCTAGGGTATTTATCAAAACTTTTGTCTCTTGGCCACTATGAAAACAATCTGAATACTGTATTTATTCTTCATAAATACCATGTGTACACTATGAAATACATTATGCAGATATCTCAAAATATCTATTTTCTATGTATTTTTATATAAGGTAGTAGTTAACAACTCTTCTATGGATATATAATTTCCATTTTTCTAAGCTTTATGTTTTCATGTCTTTTTAAAATGTAGTAAAATTTGATTATCAAAAAAGTTGAATAGCCTAGTCATTATGCTCCAACGAGTGGAAAATACATTGAAAAGTTTATATAAAAAGAAACTACATGAGAGTATTATGAGGTACATATTTTCTTCTATTATTTATTTTCCCTAAAAAATTCTAATTGATTAACTCTTAAAAGATAAAATGTAAATTTGGAAAACAACTTTGTGTTTTTCAGATTTAGGACACAACCCAAGAAAATGATTCTGAGTAGATAAGACTTCTGCTATTCTGTGCTGTGAAAAAGACTGCACAATTAAATGACAGATTGTTACATATCTCTCTAACAAGAAGGGCAAACTGATACTGCAGGCAGCCAGAACAACATAATTAAAATAGAATTCCAAGTTTGTATTAATAGAGTAATAAGTTAATTAAAATCAAGATCAACCGAACTTTCTATTTACACCAGTTCAGGCAGCCCAAGAGGGAAGGAACTCTATTTTAGAGACATATGTGACTCTTTGAGCTTCTGTCATCCAGGTGCCATTTCTGACGGAGCACATGTGCACTGAACAGTTGGCAAAGAAGGAAAAGATTACTGTAGATGTATGTGCAGATAGTCTCTCTAATGATATAAAATATGCCTGGAAAGAAAGCAGGATTTCTTTGTAAGAGAAAAATTTCCCATGACTTCTCGATCTTTCTTAGGTTCTGAATGTGATTTGAGTATGTTCCTGTAGATTAGGATACATACTTTTACCTATGATGTATATAGAACAAAAACACATTAAATAATCTGTAAGTGATGAAGCTATACATGTAAGTTAGGTAAGACATCTGAAAACTTGGATGTTATCCATTTTATCTAAATGCAACATGTATAGGGAGCCTGTCAAAACTGACAGATTTATAAATGTATCTGGTAGCTTACATTATACTACATTGCTACATAAGGTTCTTTTCTTGATATCCTATACAACTATTTTAAAAAGCTATTTCAGCAAACTAAAAGTAACAAAAGAAAATACTGAAGATGTTGTAGTTTCAGTACGTTAGAAAGTGTTGGTCCCAGTGGGTGCTTTTATAAAATTATTTTCCTTTCAAATATTGATTGCTGCTCAGCTAATCTTCATCTGGGTCSAGATCAGGCTCAACATCCGTGGACAGTCTGAGATAAAAGAAAGCATAGAAAGCCAGCAGGAGGGCCAATATAGCTGCAAGTACAAGGCCAACTTCCTAGGGAAGAAAAAAAAGCAGACTTAAAATTGATGGAGAGAGACTGGTTAATGTCATAAGTTTCATTAGATAAAATAACTGTATTATTCCACTGTGTGGAATGAATCATTTGAATCTAATAATCACATTCTTTTTGTTCAACACTTTTTGCCATTAAATAAAGAAACTTATTTTGCCCATGTCAGAACCCATTTCAATGACAAGTACATCAGTGGGTGAGTCATTTCAAATATTATTACTTTTAGTTAACCTAGTATTTTTCCTAATAGTAAAATTAAAAATTGTTTTGATAACTTTTCATAGCTTATATATCAAAATGTTGGACACAAGCAATGTACTTTGTGCCTATACAGTTTATCTGTTTCTCTATTTGAGTATGTTTAACTTCATTTGTTGCTTCAATTATATTTGCTATTAGTCATAGCATTTGCACATACAATTTTTAAAAAATTTATCATTCCATTTTTAGTGGGAAAAATGGCTATTATAACCAGGTTCTAAATTATGTATCTATATATATCCTCAATAATTACCTTGTTCAAATTTTAAATTTTAACTATTAAATCTTTTAGCTTATCTTGTGGGTGATCAAAAACTTGGTACTCAGCTCCTGAAGCAAGATATAGTACAATCTGTCACAACTGTGTAGCATGGTACTAGATATTTCATTGAATAATTTGGTGATTACATTAATCAACTACATTAAATAACCAAAATTTTTACCATATATATTATAAAAGTCATATTCGTTCTCAAAAAGTATGTGTGTATGTATTATAAGAAAACTTTCTCAATATTAATATGTCATTTGGCTTAACAACAACAACAAAAAGGCACAAATAGAATGCTGGACCTGATATTCCTTTCTTTTTTTCACTTTTGTAGCATATCCTTTAACTCTCATTGTTTTATGGAAAAGCAATTTATTTGCATTCACATGAATAGATTTTACATCTCATAAGAACATAAAATAATATGCTACTTAATAAACTTTAAAAACATTAAAATCAATTTTGTTTATAATCAACATGGAATTTTCATCTGAATGTTGAGATTACAAATAGATAATTTTATGCAGAGTTTTAGGTTCATAATTAAATTTATTTACATATCCAAGCTATGAAAATAAATAATAAAAATTGTGAGGTTGAAAAACTCGGTGTCAATTTTTTTAAGACTTGGTTTTTAAAATCTGATATATCAATATAATGTCAAATGAAAGTGAATTTTTCTTTGTTACAGTTGGAACACTTTGGCATCTCAAAAGGGCATGGCAGCATCAGACAGGTTTCATTTATTTTCTTATATCCACAGCTGTGCTCCCAGACCCATCTGGTTACACAGCTACTAATTTTAAGAGGATGTAATAAACAAGTGACACACAACTGCAAACTCCATCTGTTCTGTATAGTGGACAACAAAACTGATCAACAGCAGTCACCATTTCATTTGCTCAAGCTTAATGCAAAAATGAAGTTTTTATTCTTGATTGGAGGCCATGTTTCTCATCTTATTGATAATCAACTTTAATTGCTGCTTTTTAACTCTCGTTCTTAAAATAACTCTGATTTATTGTTACAGTATACTTCCAGGATATCCAGAGGAATGAAAAAGAAATTTAAGGATAGAAAACAGACGCTATTCATAGAATACAACTTCAGAAAATCCATTAATTCAATTATGTCTATTCTACATATGGCATGGGATGGTTTAGAAACATTGGGTGGGGAGGTAGAACAAATAATTTTCTTCAAAATGTCCAAAGATTTGTTGAGGAGACAAGCACGTACAGGAAAAAGTTTGGGGGTGGGGATCAAAAAATTATGAAATTTGAGAATAATGCTTTGAGGATGCTGATGACTCTAACCATAATTTAAAAGACTGATAGGCATTTATGAATTCCCTGCCCCTTGGCCATTTTTAGCTTTAATTCAGAAATAACAAAAAAGAACAAATGTAACATTTCAAGCTGCTCATCTCAAGGGGTTGTTGGCAGGATTTGGTTAACACTGAATATTTTATTTATGTAGCAAAACTTTGATCTTTATTTTTATTATGATTGTGCCTCTTGAATAAACCTTTTAAACAGCAAATTAACTAAAAATTTTAGATTCTTTTCCTTCAACATGCTAGGAATCACAGATATTTGCATTCTAAAAAAATTTTTAGTGGCGCTGTAATTCTTAAAACATAATCTTCTAATTGAACAGCAACTAAATAGCAAATATAGTTATGCAAATATTTTTAGATGGCATTCATTTCAACCCCACAGTTTTTATTATTTTATTACTGTGTCATAATGTAGTACATTTTATTTACATTTGTAAGACACAAGAAGTGAATGACTTCTCAATTGTAAATTAGTTATAGATTTTAACACAATCTATTCATACGTTATGCTGAAAACATTAACTCTTCCCCCAAAACATTTTCTATTATTAAATGTCTATTTACAAAAAACATTAAAAACATAAAAGGCTCTATTGTATAATTCTTTATATCTCTATACTGTGATTTGCATCAGTACTCTTGATTTAATGTGATACTTAAAATATGTAAGTGATTTCTTGTCTAAGTTCTTTCAAGAAAATCATGACTTACTCATTTTCCTTTCCATAGATTTTACAATATTATGATACTTACAGTAATTTCTCAATACATCATGGTTTGAGTAATATTTATATAATCTTTATACAAAGGATACTAAAATTCTGTAATGCTTTTAAATCATTACAACACTAATCCATAATACTATCCCCACAACAAATCTGACAACATTTCCTAATATATGATAGAACCACATAATGCAGAAATAGTTTAAGTAAGGGAAGGCCACTGGAAAACATTTTAGGGAAGTCTTATTTATACAAACTAGATATTATTAATTCTAACATGTATTTTCTCAGTCAGCTAACTATTCATAAATTACTTCCATGTGCTAAGTTCAGTGCTTGATGTTTATACTGCAATATTAATTCTTTGGACAACATTATATGGGGTAAATGGCATAATCTCCAGTTTACAAACTTGCAGCCTAGACTTAGCTAGACCATGGCAATAGAAAGGGCCAAAAAAGATGTGATCCAAGCCTGCCTCATCATACGTTCAGTGTTGTTGTCATTGGTGTTATTTTTCTATTTCATGCACCTGTTCATACTCTCTGTAGATTCAAATTATTTAAGTGTAAAACTATGATTCATTCAAAGGAATAAGTAGTAAAGTGATAAAATAGTATAATATTATGGTCATTCTCTATCAACTAGATAAGAGTCAAACATGTTTGATGTTCATTAGTCTTTAGTTGCTTCTCTGACATTATCAATATGGATAAAATCACTCACTAGGGAAATTAAAAAGCATTAAATGGCAATTGCTAAAAGAAATTTCGTTATTTAAAATCCTATGCCAAAATGACAAGGCAATCAAAATTTGACAGGGCAAACTAATTAGTATGCCAGATTTGAAATGTAAAACACCTTCATGGTTCTGATTCTAAAAAGTTTCATATCATCTTAATGGGCTCTCTTCACATAAATTTTCAAGCTAAGTAAACAATATTTAAAGTTAAGGTCTTTGTTTTCAACAGGCTTACAAATCAAAATGATATGCTAGCTTATTAAAAAGGAGTTATGTTCTGATGTCAAAAACTCTTCTGTATATACCTTAAATTGTAAATGAAGTCTAAGAATAAACATTCATAAAGATAAAATTAAGACATTTTTGAAGATAAATTTTATATTGTTTTTAAAGGGACATTGGATAATTGTATTATAAAGGAGGTTTAAGCTCATACTGGGATCATAATTATTTCTCCAAATTAAAAAAATAACAAAAATTATCAAGCAAATGGGAAAAAAAGGATGTGTATAAAAGAGTAAAATACAAATAATTGAATGGCTGCACTATTTCTCAATTCCTAATATATAACTGCTAATTAAACTTTTACACAAATGAATTTTGTTACACCAGAATTTTCCTGACAAGTGAATAAACAAAAACTCCACTGCACTGTGAAGGATAAAAGTAAGTGACATACTTCCCTGAAAGACAATGACAAAAGGATCTTAATAGAATAGATAATCATCAAGTAACGAAACGTAAAATAAAAATCTAAGCATTGATTTTAGAAAAGTCATGTCATTGAAATATTTTAAAGGATGAATGAAATTTCATATGAAATTAGAAAAACTCTTCAAAAGATTAATTTCTCTTTTCAACAAAAAGATATTTTTTTCATTAAAAACTGACACATAGCACTAACTGAGGAGACTGTGTTGTGAAAACATACCACATCACATGGCAATGCTTGATCAAAATCAGCAATCAGAAGCAAAAAGAAGGCAGTGTTTTGTGATCATAATAGCAAATTCTGGAAGACAACCAAATATATCATCTGGCAGTTCAACAGCTGTTACAGCTTGGTAGTAATACCTTGGCATTTGCTATAAGCTATAACTTAGAAAAATTGATTTCTCATCTGCCAGATAAAAACCAAAATCTCCTTTTAACATTTTAATATTTAAATAAAATATATGTACTGGTCATTTATTATTTTACACATTTGGTAGTAAGACTGCCAAATTAATTTTTCTAGTTAGTTTACCTCAATTCTAGTACTTGGCCAAAAAATATATAACATAAGCAATAATGTAAATGTAATTTTGTGAAACTTTATTGTGCTAGCATGTTGAATTAATAACTGTTAACATCATTCTCAATTGCATTTATCCCTCTTAAGCAGATAAACTGGTTTTCTAAAAGGATAAGTTTGGGAATATCATTAGAATTTCAACATAGAATACTGGCAACAATAACAAAATAACAAAATTATATATATATGTATTTATGATCTAAGTATATATGATTACAACTATACCTTAATCAACTATAAAAATAAATTCACTGAAAAAGAAAGAAGGGTTTTTGACTAAAGACACATACATCACTGAAATGTTTGAGCAATACACATAGTAGTTAGAGAAAAATTATATTACAAATTTAAGAAAAACGGCTTACTTATGAAACATTGTTTTATTTTAAGACATTACCCCCCACCAAAAAAAAAAAAAAATCTCAGGCTAAGATGTTTTCCATTAATTAAATTCTTTACAAAAATTCTTCAATTCTGGCATGGTGTTTAGATTTTGAAATGTCATAAAACATTTAGAATTCAATGTTTATGCAATCCAGTTTTAGAAAATGAAATGGCATATACATATGAAATTATAAAGTTATCAAATAGTTATCTACCTTTATGCCTATTGCTGTTTTCTTTGCTTCTGCTTTTAATTTGGTTGCTCGTAAAATAGGTTTGGTTTTTTTATAATCCTGTTTGCCTAGAAAGAAACAGTTTTAGACAATGAGTTATGCTTATATATAATTTGAGCCTAAAAGTCATCTGAAATGTCAAATTATGTTTAAATAGAGCAATTAAGGGACACATAGTTCCAAACTTGTTCCCAGTTGTGACAACCATAAACTTGGTACCCAAAGGTCAGCTTCTCCTCTCTTACTTCTTCAGGAATAAAACTCTCACAGACATCTTTGATTTGTCTGACAGACATTTTTGATTTGATGTGCAATTAATGTTAAAATCATAATTCATTTTGTATTTTAAGTTTATGGTAAAGGGAGTAAAACACTGGGAAGAATTTGGAAACAAATGTATAAATGAGGATATGTAAGATATTATTAATAGGAAAAATTAACTTTTGCCTTCATAATTGAATAATAGCTAATTATAAACTTGTATAGACATATTTAGTATTCATACAATCAATTTGAGAAATATTTACTAGTTTTCTCTAAGAGACTAAAGGAATGTGTAAAACAATTTTGGTCTCCTGAATTCATTAGAAAAATATGTACTTAACTTTTGTTTCCTCTTAATAGAGGATAGAACTAATGTGTATAGATTAAAGACATAGGACACCTATATTTTGATACTAGTCTCAATCAATTCTATCATGTTTCACAGTGAAAGATGAGCAAAACTGAATTATCACAGAATTTCTACTTTGGTACACCATCTGGTGACATCACCAATAAGCTATAAAAGAGATAAAATACAGTCTGGGCAGAAAAATAGATTTAATAATAACAATAACAAAGGCATTAACTATATAATATACCATCAGCTAACTAAACTCTTAACTAGGAAGAGAATCAAAAGAAAATCTAATATAATAGTTTGATGTATTTTTTCTGATTGGGAGTTAACATGGTTAGATAATCTATTTCACATTTGCAATTTGCCTTTTTGTTTCCATCTTATTTCTTTTCCTTTTAATGATCAGCTTCTTCCAAAACTTACCCATACATTTCCTTTATCTAAATGATAAAACTTGTAACTTTAATTTCCACATCCTCACAGTGAAATAAATCTGAGGGCAGTTTATCTAAAGTATATAATAAAATTTAATCTGCAATAAAGCTGTTTTGAGGAGATCCAACATGGCGGCCGGCGAGGAAGCAGTGATTCCAACGTCTCCACTTTAACGGGATAAGAAAGACCCATCTGAACAGCTGCAGCCTACCTACGGAGGAACTTCTACCATAATTCCCTTAAGAGGAGAGCAGCYGTGATCTGGTAGGTTTATTGGAAGTGACAGTTTGTCCCAGAGAAGTGGATCTTGGACGGCCACTCRGGCACAGAGGTCTAGTCCCGCAGCCATCAGCTACCCGGCTACACAGGTGGCCCTACGGCGGGTGCAGAAGTCAAGTCCCGGAGCCAGCAACCGCTTTTGCAAGCGGCGGACACCCAGAACGGCTTGGGCCGCCCCGCCTGAACCGGCAGTCGGCCTCCGCCATCTGGGCTCCCCCGGGAGGCATAGCGCTCGCTCTGGGAGCAACCACTTCTCCCGCCCGGTTCCAAACCACGCGGCCGCAGCTACCCGGCTACACAGGTGGCCCCGCGGCGGGTGCAGAAGTCAAGTCCCGGAGCCAGCAACCGCTTTTGCAAGCGGCGGACACCCGGAACAGCTTAGGCCACCCTGCCCGAACCGGCAGTCGGCCTCTGCCATCCAGGCTCCCCCGGGAGGCCTAGCGCTCACTCTGGGAACAGCCGCTTCTCCCGCTATTGCAAGCGGCAGACACCCGGAACGGCTTGGGCCGCCCCGCCTGAACCGGCAGTCGGCCTCCGCCATCTGGGCTCCCCCGGGAGGCATAGCGCTCACTCTGGGAGCAACCGCTTCTCCCGCCCGGATCCTAACCACGCGGCCGCAGCTACCCGACTACACAGGTGGCCCCGCAGCGGGTGCAGAAGTCAAGTCCCGGAGCCAGCAACCGCTTTTGCAAGCGGTGGACACCCGGAACGGCTTGGGCCGCCCAGCCCGAACCGGCAGTCGGCCTCTGCCATCCAGGCTCCTCCAGGAGGCATAGCGCTCGCTCTGGGAACAGCCGCCTCTCCCGCCCGGTTCCTAACCACGCGGCCGCAGCTACCTGGTTACACAGGTGGCCCCGCGGTGGGTGCAGAAGTCAAGTCCCGGAGCCAGCAACCGCTTTTGCAAGCGGCGGACACCCGGAACGGCTTGGGCCGCCCCGCCCGAACCGGCAGTCGGCCTCCGCCATCCGGGCTCCCCCGGGAGGCATAGCGCT